AGTCTGAACCTTCGTGAAGAAATCCACCAACCGAAGTTCAGAAGGCAAATGTTGAAGTGCAATCAATTAATCCTGCACACAAGACCACATGAAGCGCATTGCCCACCTTTCTTCATTAACTTGCGCTTTTGGGTGAACTGACCAGTACATGCAACTTTACATGACATCAGATCTGGATTTTTTTCCCCGCACGCACAACTCGTGCTCTCCTCTCATCCAGATTGGTTTCAGTTTCTTTTCTTTTCCCCTGATCAATTTCTTCGAAGCCGGGTCTTGAACTGAAGACTCTTGGCTCTACCATGTGAGAAAATATGCAACTTGTATTTCTATGAGGCCATAAGCTAAGTTTATGCACGTAAATGTGTGGTAAATATACAGAACCCCCCTTCTAAAATGGGCACATTAAACAGCTAAATGTAAAGTATTATACAACTAACAATTTGGAGCTGTAGGAGGCGATGCATAATAAAGATTTAAGAAATTGGCATGCATATCATGTCCAAGAAATGGACTCGCATATTCTCTACTACAGATGTTAAAGTATGTTAACTGGCCAAGATTTTTTAAAGATGCAAAATGGCTGATAAATTATTCAGTAAAGGGACAGCAAATCTTTTTTTTAGCAGGAACAGTAGGGAGAGACGGCGCATCTGATAAAATGAAATATCCTGAATTTTTTGGGAGTTCAATTTTTTCTAAAACAAAAAAGCTAAGGGTGTTGCAACATAATCTTATATTATATTGTATTTATTTTTGGAGTTGCTCAAATCAATATCAAGTCGTTTGGAGGAAAATAATTTCCATAATATCCTGAGTCGATTTAGTATTTTATTTGAGTTCATCTTGTCTATCTTTTTTCACGGAATTTTTACAAAGTCATTTGTTTTTTTCCTCTACTGTTATTTCCAGTGCAGTAAAAAAATATTCTAAAAGTTAATATTATATTGATTCTCTCTCTCATTGGTCTTGGACACGTATGTACCAAAGCGTCTCTCTATTCTCTTGTTTTTTTCTCTTTCTTCCTTTCCCTTTCTACTCTGGACAGCCAGTGCAGCAATTAGGCCCATTCCAGCGAGGTGCAGCAGCCGCACAGCCCACTCGGCCAGCTGATCGAGCGAAGCGTCTTCCACCTCCCGCACGCACTTACATAACAGAAACGTCCATGGCTGCCGCCTCATCTACTCCTTGCGCCATCACTTCTAGGCCTCTTTACTCCTTGCCATCAACACAACACAAAAATTATGCCCCATCCAACCACGAATTCATTCAAACTAATTGTTCCACGCATAATGGTCTTAATCCCAGGCAAAAAACTGATGCATCGAATGCCAGCCGTTGGCATTCATCACTTGATCTCCCTCTCCCGGCCATTATTTTCCAAACCACTCACATCACTATGTTCGTCTGGACCTCCTCTATAAAAACCAACGAACATAGTGACACGAGTGGTTCGAAGAATGATGGCCGGGAGAGGGAGATCAAGTGATGAATGCCAACGGCTGGCATTCGGTGCGTCAGTTTCTTGCGTGGGATTAAGACCATGCGTGGAACAATTAGTCTGCATGAATTCGTGGTTGGATGGGGCATAATTTTTTTGTGTTAATGATAAGGAGTAAAGAGGCCTAGAAGTGATGGGGCAACAAGTAGATGAGGCGGCAGCCATGGACGTTTTTGTTATGTACGTATGTGCGTGCGGGAGGTGGAGGACGCTTCGCTCGATCAGCTGGCCAGGTGGACTGTGCGGCTGCTGCACCTGGCTGGAATGGGCCTTGGGCCTAATTGCTGCGCTGGCTGTCCGGAATAGAAAGGCAAAGGAAGAAAGAGAAAAAAAAAACAAGAGAATAGAGAGACGCTTTAGCACATACGCGAATGAGATAGACCGACAACAAGCAAGGTAAGGAACGTGTTGGGTCCAAGAACCAATGAGAGAGAGAAAATTAATATAATATAATATTGATTTTTATAATAAACTTTGACTACAATGGAAATAACAGTAGAGGAAAAAAATCAAATGACTTTGGAAAAAATCCGTGAAAGAAAGATAGACAAGATGAACTCAAATAAAATACTACGAATGACTAAATCGACTAAGGATATTATGGAAATTATTTCCTCCTGTCATATGCTAAATTAATTTCAAGCGACTTGGTATTATTGAGCAACTCCAAAAACAAATACAACATAATGTAAGATTATGTTTCAACATCCTTAGCTTTAAAAAAAATTGAACTCCCAAAAAAAGTCAGGACGTTCATAAAATCATACCCATCAATGCATAGCTGCAGTTTTGCAAAAAAAGTGCAAACAAAAGTTTGCTCACTGTCTGCTTAAGGGATCAGAGTAGTGACTTTAAGCATTTTAGGTATGGATAAAAGAACAAATAGAGTAATACTGACACGTTGCTGTTTCTTTGTGAGGATATTTGACAAGTCCTTAGAGAAATATGGATAGAACATAGCAGGATTACTTACATCTTCTCGAAGAATTCAGGTGTCTGGATGCTGGGGAATCTATTCTTTGTTACTGTCATTTTTGACTTTGTGGCATACACCAAATACTTCTTTTCTTCCTCTGATGTTGGCCAGTACACCATGCCTCTCCTTTTAGATATCCAAAGGCAGGCACCAGCCTTGCTCTCATCTTCTATAAGCTCAAATGCACCTAATCCAAACAGAAGACATCATATCCCTTCAGATAACATGGAGAAAAAAGTTAGAGCATCATAGGCAAAAGATATAGACCTATATATAAGTAGGTCCATAGATATCAAAATAGTTTAGTAGGTCTCTAAGCTTGCACAGTGCTACTTCAGGCAGGAACTTGAGGACTGCACTTGTAGAAAGGTAGTGAAGGCAGGAGAGCAGTACCTAGTACCGACCTGGCACATAGGGCTGGCATAGCCAAGGGACTGATTATAATAAAAGATAAAACATATGTAATTTAACAACTCAATGCTTTGAGTTAAACCTATTTGGCATTCAATTAAACCTGCATTTTTTTAGTTCAGGAACACAAGCAATATACTTTACAAGTCTAGGAACACGTCAGTTATTTCCAAACTTAGTTAATAGTTTGTAATAATGGATGCACATGTTTCACACGGAAAAACAACACAACCATCCATGTTCATTTTCATGATTTCATCATCAATTAAAACACCCAGTCTCAACTTATCTAAGGCTAACTGTAACCTGTAATCCTGAGACACCAGATGTAGGCAAAAATATATTTTTTGATTAACTGAACTATGTGAGAAACACAGTACCATTAATAACATCCTCCATCTTCAAAAACCCACCAAGCGCATCTACTAATACGCGGTTTACTTGTTCTCCCATATTTGTTTGGACAAACTGCATACACCAGTCCAATATATTTGTTAGAATAAAATAATAAGCTACTATGTTTACGATAAATATAAAGTTATCATGACTTGCAGCATCTAAAATATGCTCCATCTGTCATCAACTACGAAATGTGGATATCAACTCACTAACATCAGCTAGTTTTCGCAGATGGAACAGTGAATAAAATTGGTCCACACAGTCATGCTGTTTGCTTTTAAAAAACTGAACTATGTACCATTCAAATTTAACTCGGCTAAAGAACGAAAATTGTACAAGGTTCTAATTGTGCATGGGTCATTCGAAAAGAGCCCTGGTCAGGGCCCTAAAATGGCTCTGGCCGACGACCTTACAGTGAGCAGTCACACTGGCTATTCAATCTAAGTTTTCCCATCCGCACAAATTTATGCAATGGAAAATGCAATGCACTGCACAGTACCACTCTCGGTCAAAAATATGCTCACAACTGTAGCACAGAAAAATAGGCACGGTCTGAATGTAAGTACAATAGTGCGAGTCAATAAGTGAGTATGTCACAGATACAATGCTAAGTATTTCTCTTGCCTCATGCAAATTATTAATACCTCAGGGCAGATCACATTGACACGAATGCCGTGCCGTTTTAATGGAGCAAGTGATCTTGTAAACATAATCACACCACCTGCAGATGAAGTTTGAGGTCATATTGTGCATAAAATAGATCATACATTATATAGAAGGAACACATAATTAGTTTGTAGTAATAGTGCAGCTGATGTCAACACGGAGCACTTTACATAGCCAACATGAACTTATGTACAAGTTTTGACTGTTAATAAATGATATGTCTAACTTACTGCAAAAGCAATTTCAGTCTGCCTAGTGCCTACAACACATACACCTTTTTTTAACCAATTAGCAATCTCTGAAAGAAAACACATATTAAAGCAGCTAATTTAAAATTGAAAAAGGGAATGCTACATTTTAACACAGAAGCAAACGAGTACATCAACTCTCTGCAGTCCACTTTATAGTGTAGATATCCATGTTCATACATGCATATTAAGATGGCTGAAAAGATTATCGACTTCTACATCGTATATATACATAGTTCACCAGTTTTTTTAGCAGATTAACAGGGGCTCTGCAAAGCTGATTTAGTAGAGCGTTGTGGAAGATAAAAGTAAAATAGCCCATCCCCAATGAAGTTTATTTCTTTCGGGAGGTCATTTCTGATGAAGATTCTAAGGATATCTTTGATCATTACTTACTCGTTAACTTGGTTCAAGAAAGGAAGGCACAAAACTAAGATACACATACAGCAAAAAAAAAAGTAAGTTCAAACAATTGCACTAAAGAGCAAGATCGATTTTACAAGGATGACCTGATACCGGAGTTTATAGCATGTTTATTTTAGTACGACATGATGACTTATAATCACCTTGATTACTATTTTTTAGGAGTGTATACCTTCTGTCACTACAATACGAGCCTACGTTTACCTTCACTAAATTTCAAAAAGAGAGTCAACACACCACATCACAGCTTACACATTACAAACAAAGTCACCATTTTAAGTACATTTCTTAATACAACGAAGAGAGATCAACCTTTTGTCCCACTATATATGGGTTCATAGTGCATAGGGTATAAGCCAGCAACTGAACCAATATTTATTATGGCACCAGGCTTCTTCTGTGCACGCATCATTTGAGTCTGCAATGAACAAATCCAACCATAAGTAGTGTACATGTGCAATTTACAGGGAGTGATATTTCTCTTGCTCTTTGAACCATAAGTAGTTTGCAAATAACCATTCGTGCAATTGATATTTCTTTTCAAATATTGCACTAATAAAGAATTCAAACTCCATGAATAATGCAAGCCTGATTGTTTAATCTTCATTGGTTCAAAGTTATATCTTGTCTCTTGCTCTCAAGGAAACCCGACATGCAATATGATGACAAAAAAGGTATTATGCCTTCCATCCTCCGGTAATGAAAACATGGGAGGTAAATCCAACACTTTCTTTTCTCCTAAACAACCGCATCAACAGAAATTGTAGCCCATACACATCTCCATAATGCTCTACCTAAGTTAATAGATGGCGGACAGTACCAGCACTCTGTTACTACAGATAGTTTGAGTTAATAAATAGTACTAAATTAACTTGAAAAATTTACTCAAAAATTGTCAGCAGGGGACTTACTGCAATGCGAGTACCATCAATAACAGCAACAAGGTTCACATTTACAGCACGCCTCCATGTCTTGGTTCCATTGGATGTATCATCATAAACTAAGGATTTGTTGACAAATCCAGCACAGTTGATGCAGACATCTAATCCACCATACAAGTTTACATGTTTCCCAAAAGCAGCAGCAAGAGCATCTAGACATAAAATCAGTGTGACCATAAGATCATGGCAACATAGAGGGCAAGGAAAATTACACTTTCAGTCAATCGTCAAAACCATAAGGCAAGTAATCTGTTTCAAAACATAAGGCGAGTGATAGAATGCCCATGAAAGAATAAATCCACCATAACAAAATGACCTGTTGGAAAGCAAATTGAGGTTTCATGAGAGCACAAGAAAGCAATATCTATATTTAAAAAATTATGTGATGCCAAATTTATTCAGGAACAAATGTATGCAAAAAAAAAATGTGATGCTTGAAACAAATCTTATGTTTGTAACATTGTGTCAATGAAGTAATGAGCTATACTTCCTTTGACGCTTGAACAAATTATCGAATGACATTAATTACGCTCTACCAGTGTAATGCCATTTGACGCTTGAACAAATTATTGGATGGCATTAATTATGATCTACCAGTGTAATGTCATTAATGACTTCAGTTGTGATGTTATGTTAACTGTTGCCTCCAATTTCTAGCAAACTGCGTTGGGCAAAAGCCAGCCTGAACCCTTTTTCATTACAGCAACATAGCCAAGCTATAAGTTTGGATCAAAAGTTATGTTGTAGCAGGCCAATTAATTGCTGCTACCTGCTTCCACTTACCTGCATCAGTAACATCACACTTGATGAACATAGCATATGGAACTTTAGAATCTCCATGAATCTGGCTGCTTCCCTTTTGAACCAATGACGCAACTTGTCCTCCGTGTTCTTCAGAGAAATCGACGACAGTCACAAATAGACCCTTGTGCGCAAGAGCAATGCAAAGCGCTTTCCCTTGAAGAACAAACAAGGACAGTTAGACCGTGCAATATATCTAGCGAAATCTCTTGTTCCACTACACCAAATCAATTTAATTGTGACTTTTGAGGTATGTAATAGGCAAGGGTGTGAAGCCCAATCCGGCCACAGAGAACGGAACGCGACTGGCATTGGCAAGGAGGTGTGTCCTTACCAATGCCGGAGCCGCCGCCGGTGACGAGGGCCGACATGCCGGGCTCCAGCTTCATCGCGGCGGCGCAGCGGAGAGGCCGACGAGGTCCTGTCTGGGAATAGCGGCGGAGAAGGCGAGGAAGGCACGGAGTGGGGCGAGGGTGGGGGACCGGGGAGGTACTAGAGTAGGGGACCGCCCGGCCGGCGGAGCTGCCGAGACGGGGACAGGCGGCGAGAACGAGGCGCCGCGGCGGCGCGGGCGGCGGCCCCTCGCTCTCGTTAATCTCGCCATGCCTCGCTCCGCTTCTCTTGTCCGTTTGGTTTGTTCCGTCCGCGAGACGGTTCGTCTATGTATCCGTTTCCTTTTTTGTTAAGGGGATGTATCGGTTTCCTGGTCTGGGCTGCCTACAACCTGGGCTGATTTTTCGTAGGGCCTGGGCCGGCAATATCTTTATGGGCTTACTCTAGGAAAAAGTCCAAAATAAACCAAGTTGTAAACGAAAGCTAAATCAAACACTGAACTTTGAATTCCGGAAATTGGCACTCTAAACTTGTAATTCCAGTCTATTTTCGACCCTAGACCTGTTTGGCACACCGGGAATACAACAATCCCGGCCGGGATAACCAGCTACTCTCACGGACAAGAATTTGGGCCGACCCACTATAACACAAAAAGAATTCATGAAGTTTAAAAAATGTTCGCACATTTCTAAAATTGTTCAGAAGTTAAAATATGTTCATGTTTTATATGTTCGGCACGAAGTCAATTCATTTTGTGTTTTTAAAAACATATTTGTAATTCTGAAATTCTATTCGCATTTTAAAAACTGTTTACGGTTTCAAAAAAGTTCACATTTGTCAAAAAATGTTCAGAATTCCATCAGTTTTTCACATGCTATGAAAAATGTTTCGGATTTTCAGAATTATGTCACATTTTTTGAATAATGTTTTTGGAATTTCATAAATTATACCGTAAATAATGTTTTTAAAAAATGTTTCAGATTATTGGCCGCTCACTCGACTGGGCCGGCCCACCAGATATAAAGCGAGTTTTTTTCCTTATCACGCACCATAGAAATTATTTCTTTCTTTTTCTTAACGCGCGATGTAATAATTCCAAAAGAGAAAAACCGTGGATTTAAACTTGGGACCTGGCAGGGTTGACCTGATTTGGTTAGCCACTACACCAGACGACTATGACTTATAATAAGAGGCCGAAAATATTTAATTTGAAACCAAAGCGTCAAACTTTGAAAAAAAAATTAGGGGCAAATAAGTATTGAAAACGTATTTATTTCTGAAATCTTCGCACCTTTTATAAAAGTACGTTTTTGAAAATTTCGAATACTTTTAAAAAACCAACAACTTTCAGAAAGAGAACACCTTTTGAAACATAAACATTCTTTTAAACCAGAAAAAAAATTAAAGTGCAAACACTTTTTGGAACATAAATTTTTTATGAATCCTGAACAAAATTTTAAAGTGTGAACACTATTTGTACAATGTAAAAAATTTTGCGTGTTGTAAAAAAATGTGTCATAACCTTAACAGAATATACGTGACATGTGTTTGAAAAAAGTGTATGCAAATTTAAAAATGTTGAACCATGTAAAAGAGTGTTCGTGTAGTTTTGTAAAATGTTTATTTTCATTAATAAAATGTATGACATGTATTTGGAGAAATATTACCATGTATTCAAAAAAGTTTTGAAAACGGTTAATTAAAAAATGTCCATAATGTATTTGAAAATATCAAAAGTTTATCAAATATTTAATGTGTGCGTTAAAAATGTACATTCGGTACTGAGAAAAAATAGACATGTGTAAAAATTTAAAAGAAAAGAAAACATAAAAGAAAAAATCTAAGAAAATACAAATTAGTACGCGCGCGTGAGCGACTGCGCTACTGGGCCGGCCTAATTCAGCAGATCCCGGCAAATCCTCTAAAGGTTTAAAATAGACCGGGATTAGAGAGTTTGGTGCGCTGATTTCAGGGATTGAGAGTTCGGGGTTTGGTTTAGCTTTCCCCTACAATTTTAAGGTTTGTTTTGGACTTTTTCCCTTACTCTAGACGACGGAGCTGCACATCACACACTGCCGAGCCACCATAAACTAATGAGAATTTTCCCTAAAAAAAACTAATGAGAGATAAAAGTACTCCCTCTGTGCCTCCTAGGTACTTTTCTTTTCCTTTTCGTGAAACATCTGGCATGTCGATTGCTGATTACTTGATTGAATGCCATGCTAGTTTGCTTTAGTTTATTTGTCTTATTAAAGCATACACATTGATGATAAATTTACTAGACGTACACAACACCTTATGAGCCAGCTCAAAATATTTGCCATATCTCCTACGTATTTCTTAGTTGTGTTAATTTTTGCTTTGTAATACTTACTGAATGGTCAAATGATTTCTCTGCAGCTGCATGCCTGAATGCGGAGCTTCTTTGGGCAGAATCAGCTGCAAGTGGGAAGAGGAAAGGTAGTGATAATGAAAGTTTATGGTGGGCGGTGAGGTGGATTCTTGCTCGATTTCATGGGGAGTTGAGAGTTAAGCTGTGTCTCAAGTTCAAGATGGAATGCTTGAGCACGCTCAAAGCCTGGAACAAGGGCTTGGAAAATGCTCAAATAGTGTAAGTTTTCCTGCATGTTTTCCGTTGTTCTTTTTGACTAAGATGGTTGAACCTATCATTCTGTTGAGGAAGGTTGAAGATTTGCCGAACTGTTTCTTTGGCCATTTGTTCTTCGTAGTGAGCTCACTCTGCCGCTCAAAGATGCAAGTAACTAATTGGTGATGATGGCAATGGCCTGGATCTATTGGCAATGCTGATTAATTCCACTAGGACGCAAATTATTTAGAATGGCATACATTCCTACTCTCAGTGATCAACTGATAATCACGTTTTTGTTGAATAGTGCACATTTGCAATGCTGAAGTAGCTTTGTAGCCTATAAATTCTGATTTATTAAACGAGGATGGCAGACACTAAACTTAGTCCTAGATAATATTTGGCCAGGCTGCTGTATTTTCATTGCCCCTCTTGGCTTTCTCCTGCGGGAGCGCTAGAAAGTCACAACCTGAAAATTCTTTCTTTGGGAGGATTAGAGGAGTTTGCATCATTGTTTGGTCGTGTCAATTCTGATCTCATGTACTGGCTGTCTTAGCACTTACACGGTCATTTACTTGCTTACCTTGCAGGGAGCTTTGATGCTTGCAGATTTGTTTCTTTTCAAGCTACATACGGCTTCAACGAGAATTGCATTTCTTGTTCCTGGTGGATAAGTTGGAGAAGCGGAAGCATATCTGCATGATTCTGAATCTATGTTTCTGAAGTTGTCCATTTTGTTTGGCTGTGAATTAAGTGCATTATGATATGAAAGATGGGAGCCTTCAGTTTCTATTATATAAAAACTGTAGGAGCTTGTAATATAAGAACCTTCCGTTTCCGCTCGTGCCTGTAGATGGCTTTGTATTTGCAAACTAACATGTGGTTGGATGGTTAGAGGGACAGTGATATCCCAGTCCACCAGGATTCAAGTCCTAATGCTCGCATTATTCCTGAATTTATTTCAGGATTTCTGGCGAAGCGCGTTCAGTGGGAGGAGGCGTTCCCGTCGACGACGAAGCGCTTACAGTGACTTCGAAATCTCAAGATGATATGCCGACTCAGTCTCTCGAAGGTGCTCATAGGATAGGGTGTGTGTGTGTGCGTTCATAGGGGTGAGTGTAATTTACCCCCTCGTTTCTGGGCCTACATGTGGGGCTGCAGGCTGCGGGCACGCTGCTCTTCACAGTATGAGCACTGAACACTTTGCTTTGCGTCAATTACTGATCTCCACTCTTAGTCTGTTCAATTCTATCGAGGTTGATCAATAGAGGCAAAAGTCACCTGCATATCTGCTGTGCAGGCGACCAGGGCAGCATATGCAGTGGTTCAAGTATCATTCTTATTCTTTGTACTTGGTATTAAATTCATGCTTCAGCCAGTTCATCTACAAGTTCAAACTTCCAAGCATCATTCTTTGTACTCCCTCTGATCCAAAAAAAGTGTAGTTTTTGTACAAAACTGCAACACTTTTTTTGGATCCATTGGTACTGGCTTCAGCCAGTTCAACTAAAAGTCCAAACTGCTGAAGAAGATTTCATTTGGAGCAGCTCTCATGCTTAGCTTTCATCTAACTTTTTCTTTTTTAAGGAATCAAAGAGCAAAAGCTCACTATATGAGCGCGCGCAAAATTTTCTTACACCCAACACAAATTCTGCACAAAACATGAAGTATAACGCACCACTGAACTGAGCAATCTATTCATTTATTTAGGCATGGCATGTGGGATCGTACACTTATTTGGTTTCTATATAACGCTTGGCCGGTTGCGAACTGATCAGACAACCGAGCTACACGGTGACTTCACTATGCAACTACTAAGTTCCTCGCCTCGACACTGAATGTGCACCTATAACGTACGCACTCGTCATAAATTACATTTCCTGCGTCATGTTTTGTGATGAAGTCTCTGCGGAGTACAGGCTACAGCTTAGCGAGGGTCTGGCTGTAAGCTGGATCGATGCAGACGACGACCTGAAGATGTTCCACAGGGAAATTTGTAAGCTACATCAGGGTAGACGTGAACAGGATCGTTTGTGGTTATAGAGATGGTGGGATCATACCTTGCCGACGCTCTTGCCAGAATGAAGATACTCTACCGCATCCACCGCGGAAGCAACGCCCAGGAATTTCTTAGGGTCGAGTGAGACCTGTCGTACACGGTGTGACATGTTAAGCCAAAGTTATTAGAACAGAGAAAAGACAAGCACGTGTAGATGTGATAGAGTATGATTTTCTGTAGTAATGAGCTGTTGCTACAGTAGTTTAACAATTGGCAACCCACATCTTTGCTTGGTTTGTGATCTGACCATTGTTTGACATGCGCACCTACTTTAAACATGACCACCAATTGGCAGGGTGAATTAGGGTAGGCACCCAAAGCCCCAAACACCCGCAGTTTTTCTCAATTAATGTCACGCAAAGTAGCAAACAGCAAACACATAATGTGAAGCGTACCTTTAGCTTTCCAGAGGCATACAACTCAAATAGTTTGTCAAGATGATCTTGCCACATGTGAGCATGTTGAACCAGGAAAAATCCAGCCTGAAATTGGAGAGGAAGAAGTTCAGAGTTTTCTGCAACGGGCTTCATAGTTCTAAAGAGACAGAGTCCTATTGGATCCAAATCAATCTATACGGCTTAACATCTGTCTTGTATAGTTTATGAAGTATGCATAGAAGTAGTTTGCGGCTTCTGAAAGGTCTGATACGATATTAAAAAAATGGTATTTCTAGACCTAGATCCAGATAAAGAGATTCCAATCATAGCTAAAGGTTGCTGCTTGTCTATTGCTTTGGTACACAGAATTTCGAGCATATGAATCAAAATACCATGTTTCTTTTAATACTACAGTAAGGACAGCTGGATGCCCGGTGCACTGTCGAGGAGAACCTTTTATCTTAGTCTTGCTGAGAGAACTCTTGTGGTACATACGAACAATGTAACACATAAACTTTCAACATAGATGGCATTATTTCTTTGTATCATATCCAACTGCTAAAATTTACTTGATGATTTGGATCTAGGAGAACACAAGTTTCGCGATCAACTTATTGAATGAACATTGAGTACAAAGAAAGTACTCCTATATGCCAACTAAGAAAATCAGATACTGTGCTGCACACATACCACAGTTTGACTTTTAGCAAGAATCTTCTCACATAGTCCAGTGTAGTTCTTCGGCTTCCATCCCTCCTCTCCTTGATACTAAAAAAACATCAAGGGTTGTTCAGTACCAGTTGGTATCAGTTCATCCCTAAGATATGACATCTTAGTAAAAACAGCTACAATGAAAACAGGATTGGCCGACACTAATTCAAATAGGTGGTATGTACAAACCAAGAGATCAATGATTTCCCTAGGTGCACTCCATGCCTCCAGTTTACATACAGATGCATGATGGGAATATATTATGTAATAATGTTAGCAAGGACTCTTCAGAATATTCTCAGGAGGGTGCTTATTCACTCCACCAAATGAAAACACACAAATCATAAAGCTTTTCACAAAAAATTCAATATCCCAGTACATAATAATTCAAACGAAATAATTTTCAGAAGCTGTCAACATTACCTGAGAGATCATACCAATTACAATGAGGCGTCCATGGACTGCGAGCGCATTCAAGCACAAATCAAACATGTCCCCACCTACAGATTCATATATAATATCTACACCTTTTGGAAACTCCTTTTTCAGAACCTGGAATCAAGCATTCAAACAATCAGTGATTACTGAACACACTGAGAAGAACAAATAAGGGATCAGTGAAAATAACAGTCAATTGAAACCTATAATTTTGGCAACATACTACTGATTATAGTCATTCTCTGCAGAGACATTACAGCATAAATGTAATTAAAGCATTCCCAACCAACATTCTGCATCATCTGTGGCACGTGAAAGGCTATACAAGTGTAAGAATTAATTTCTTGGAAGATTATATTCTGGTAAGCAAGTAGAGGTAGGATACAAGCGCACAAAAAATTAGATGGTAGACGGGCTAGAGAATATACCCAGCACAATTTGCAAGTCTACCAAGAAAGGTAATGCTATAAAAAAATTAGAGCATTTGAATTTGATGCGGCGGAAATATGAAAAGCAGAGACAGAAGAAAGCTTACATCTTTGATCTTCTCATGCTGGTAGTTGATAACTCGATCAACACCTAAGGAAGCTAGAAATGCAGCCTTACTTTCGCCACCACATGTGGCAACAACCTTGTTGCCAGCTAGTTTTGCAAGCTGGTGAAGTAACAGAAGAAATATTCAGAACATAAGGATATGGTTAGGTACTAAATCCAATAACAGTTGCTTAACAAAAATGAAAAATACATGGACAAAGGAGAGAACCTTGCCCATGTCCTAGAAATACCATATGTATTGCATGGCCAAAACATGGCCCCAAATGCTAGTTAACTATGAAAGACGAACTATACATGTCCCAACTGCATGAAATTGTTATCTTGTGCAAGTTTCAAACGGCAATGTCAAACATTATATTTATACGCTTAGGTAACTGTAGAAATGGATGAACAATTGAGCATAACATCAAACAAAAATAATCATATAAGTAGTATCAAAATAGCAACAGCCCACCTGAACCGCGAACTGTCCTGTTCCACCAGCAGCTGCTGTAACTAAAACAACTTGCCCAGATGTCATTTGACCTGCCTAAAGGCAGCAGAAATCAACTTAGATCAGAACAGGAAGGAATATATATTCAAAATTCAAAAGGTTAGTTGACTAAATATAAGGTCAAAGTCGCAAGGTATGCGACCAAAAAAGTGTATCAAAATAACCTTTTCAAGAGAAATTGAAGCGGTCAATCCTGATGTTAGCATAGCAACGACCTCCGGGTCTGGTCTTGGCACCGGAAGAAGATGTTTGGCTGGAACCTTTCATCAGAAAGATGTAAAGACTAATATTATAACTGGCAGACGAGGTGATAGTATTCTGAGGTACAAACTCAAAAGACTGGAGATGTTTTCACTCCAAGGAGGACAAGGTTAGTCGGCAATTTGTTGTGTAGCAAAAAGATATGGGCGTAGACCGCAATACCATCGTAAATTCAGCATAGCTTCCAAAAGTCATAAGGGCCACAGGACTGCCAACTTTGACATGGCTCACTGCATCTCCAACAGAAGCAACAATTCCCACAGCCTGCAGATATTAAAATTCTCATGAGAAATTCTAATCGCCCAACAAAGATGTCAAGAGAAAACTTTCCGTATTTTCGGGCAGCAACATAGTTACGTATCACAACACCTGTGTAGCAACAGCATATTAAAATAAGCGCAAAAAAATAATTCGATGTAAGTACGTGACATACCAGTTTGATTTTGTTTAAGTACCAACCATAATTTAAATCGTGATTCAGTTTCACAACACAAGAAGTTATGGAAGTAAAGCTGATTAAGATTTCCCCTTTTGCATCATGTGCAATCATAGCCCCCAAAGATTAAGATTTGCATGACTGATTTATGAGCCAGTACTTGGGTCTCGACAGGATATCTTGCTCGATTGGTTGGACTAAACAAGTGTTGGTGAATTCACTCCTCTCCTCCTCTTATGTGTTCA